CAAGTATCCCTAACCACAGTGTAAAGGCAGCTTGAAATAAGAAAATTCCTAAATAGAGAACAGGGAACAGCAAACACAGGTGGGATTGCGTACACTTGTGTTTTGCCTCATTCTCATTTGCTACAACAGGGGTAGGGAACTGGAATTACATAGCAGGCCAGATCCTTATCTCCCCTACCCTGCACAGGCCAAATTTGACAGGTGAGTGGGAACACCACCTGTTAATTACCTAATGTCACAATGGTGACAGGTGATGGAGTGCTTTGTACCACTGATCAGCTGATCATTGGCAAATTCAGAGTGCTGAGCAGGACTCTTTGCAAGCCCATTCAAGGATTGGCTAGCTAGTTACCCAGTGGGAACTCAGTAGTGCAGCCAACCCCAACTGGCTTGCTCTAACTGCCAATCAGTAGCATCTTCACCCGTCTCTCACCTGACATCACATATGATGTCAAGTGTGCGACTGGGGCAAGTGGTTTGGAGAAAACAGCCTTATGGGCCAAACTGGGATCTGTTCCCAGCTTAATTAAACCCGTAACTCAGGGATCCCCACTCCTGTGCTACACAATTGGAAGCTTTGGTGAGCTGAATGGTCATTTCCCATGAATATCTGGGCACCCCAACTGTCCCACCTGACAGTTTATATGTTGCATGCCAATCTACCACCTTATACATAGGTTTTCTGTGTGAAAAATAGGGAAGCTGATATAAATGATATGTTTCATGAACAAATGGGAGAAGGGTAGTGCTTTCATAATACACTTCTAAAGATAGCTGAAGAATTATGACTTTTTTTCAAACTTCTGAAAACAATGGATTGAAGATCACAACGTCCAGCAAATGCTGCAGTTGGCTTTGCAATAACATGCAATGGCACAGCTGTGCTGAAAGCACCAACATCAATGAGTTCTTGTCAATGAGTTTGAACAAAAGCAAAAATGGAAACACGTCTTCAACAGGCTGGTAGTTCTCAACACTTTCAGAAAGAGCTGCAATACCAGAAGATCAATATACTGTTCAGCTAGAACATGATATAGCTGACCTAGATGAGTTCAGATTTTGATGGAACACTTACATTCAAAACCTTGACCCAAAGGAAGAATACATAGATGCCTCAAAGGAGAATTACCAAAACATGCTCTAGGCAGGACTCAGAACTAGACATTCAGCAGGATTTGGGATGTCTACCTTACAGAGGGTTCTGACAGACTTAATCTTTGTGTAAGCTTAAGACTAGCAAAATTGGCCAGACTGTCTCCCTTGCTGCCAATAACTCCCCTTTTCTCTGTGCAGCATGTGGAACAAAGTAACATGGTTGTAACTTTCTGACAAACTATTGAAAATTTAATCAAGCATCTTGATCTGAGTTTTCATGCTTAGTAGCAATTTTCTGTATAAAGGAATGTAGCTATACACCTGCCTGCACTGGAAAATTGGCTCACCCCTATTTAGAAGTTTAGAGGAAGATACAGCAAGTCCCTTAGGAACTCTGCAGCGTGAAATATGTCTGTGTATTGCAACAAGAGGAAATATATCACCCAAATATACCTAGCCTGATAAATTAGTCCTGGCAATATCCTGCACTCACCTGCTTTTTACTCACAGGAGTAGCTAGTGGAGAATAAGCAAAGCACTCCATTCTTCCTTTCCCAGCCTCTCTTGTGACTAAAAAACAGACTAGCAAAACACTGTACTAACTAGAAATGAGCACTCTCTTCCCACTCCATCAACTCACTTGTTTCTATGCTGAGTGCTCTGTGAAATCATGGTAAATGGTCAGATCACTCTGCCCCTTTTTTCCAATAGTCTATGGTGTTTTATGCTAGTTATGAGGGAGACCAAGCCTGTCCTGCATGTCAAGGTTCCACCATCAACCTGCTGTGTTTCTGTGCTGGACGACTAAGTGCTGATACTCCTTTCTGTGGATCCAACAGGTTGTCATGCCAATCGTTCTAGATCTACCCCCAGCTTCCCCTGTGCACATGCAAGAAATGTAGGCGTTTCACCTGCTGAGTAACTAAGCACAGCAGTTGAAACCTCCAGCCCATGAGCCTAATTAGGCCCACCTCTGAACTTGGCCCAGGAAGTCATTTTGGGCAAACCATGCCCACCTGGGCTTTCCCAATCTCTTATTTCTGATCTTAGTGTTATAGTCCCACAGTATTTAAGATCAGAGATAAGTGTGGCACTGTGATACTTAACATTAAGATTGAAGATAAGCATCTGCTTCTAACTTTTACCCTCAAAGGACATGCAGAGGCCTATCTCCAATCTTAGAACTGTGGGACTGTGCTGATGTGTCTGTGCTGATCCACTGGCATTAAATTTGCCATCCTATGAGGTTGGGTGATTGGTAGGTTGGTGGCCCTGACCACCCTTCAAAACTGCCTGTAGGTGGTGGGCTTTGCCATCCTTAGTCTACCATAAAAACCCAGAAGGCAGAAAGAAGGAGCACTCTACTTTGCTGCCAGCTCTCAGTTGCAATGATGGATGCATAAGAAGGCGCTTCACTTCCTGCGCACCCAGTACATAAACCCAGCAGGCTGCTGGAGAAGGAATGAAGCACTCCATGCCTCTGCCAGCAGCCTGCTTGCTTTCTCTGTCAAGTGGGGAACGGAGGGCTTCCTACCCTACAACCCTATAATGGGTTGTCAGCAGAAGGGCCAAACCCTGGGTTGTTACCCACGCTGGAAGGAGAGAAGGTGAATAACCCCCTGCTGTCCAGCAAATAAATGCAGGTGGTTGCTAAAAGAGGGGCTGAACACTCCATTTCCTTTCTGCAACCTCATGCACCTATGTCAAATTTCTAGTTGCCTATGGCGACCAGGCAAGTGGTTGAAAGAAGATTGTATATATCTGCTACACTGAATAACTGCAACAATTCGTTGTGGAGACTTCTTGCACTGGTATATCTGATTTCAACAATCCTTTAGTTTTTACCAGTTGGAATTAAGATTGCCTAGCTATTACTATTGATAAAGAATATAAGCCTGTCAAAATCTTGTAAATGAAAGTGATTCCTCAAAGGATCACTATAATCTGAGCTGGAAGAGATTCCCATCTGATACTTTAAGGCAGGGTGCATTGGCCTCAATCCAAAGCAGCTCTATGCACGTGAAGGCTAGGACCATGCACACTCAGCTGGAGCTCTCTTTGAAGTTCTTGCCACAGCATCTCACACTGCCAAGGAGGCATGCCAATCTGCAATTTAAAAAGCAACTTGCCTCTTTAGCAGTGGGAGATGTTGCGGCAAAACATTTCGAAGAAAGCACTGCTTTCAGGCAGATGCCTCTCCTGCGCACAAAGCTTCTTTGTATTTCAACCTCCATACATAAACCGTCCCTCAAATGCCTGTCCAGCCTTTACAGGACAATCTCCAAGGAAATTCTACAGCCTCTCTGGGCTTCTTACTCCCCTGCTGAACCGATCTTACAACTAAGCTGTACTTAATAAGGAACATCTTAAAACAACTTCTCTGCACTCTGCACTATTTCAGTCTGAATCCTAACAATTTAACCATAGTGGTTAAAAAAGGTGGGAAACAGAGCTAATTATTTTTCTGGAAGAAAAACAACACCACTGCATGAAACAAACTAAACTAATTTCAGCTCACTCCTTAAGTTATTTCCAATGCTGTCCAACTCCACGAAACTGGATGAACCTTTACTAAAGGCTCAGAACTAAATAATGCCTCAAATATATCCCAAAGAATATTTCTGCAATAGGAGCAGATAACTTGTTTTGGCCAGTAGGCTGTTTGGCATATCCTGCCTGCGAGTGGATGAGAAGTCATGTTTGCTATGAAAAGGACTCACTACAGAGTCTCATTTTTTCTGTGATACATGTGATACACACATAAACAAAACAAACCCTTAGCTCAGTTCTACTTGGTCTTTATCAAGTCCTTTCTGCCCACTTCTATCGGAGTACCATTTATATGCACCCTGTGCTGAGGTTGTTTGCTAACACACAAAACAGGACAGTACAACCTACTGGGGGAGGGTGGAGAACTCCAAAGTGAAAGCTTTCCTGGCTACTATCCTGTGTATTGCAATACCAACAAAATCTGAGTCAGGGCATAAGCCTGAATGTAATTTTATTGTGAACTAGTTCTCTGCTACTTGAAAAACAATGCACACAAACTTTGCTATTCTTGTCATTAGGAGACAGGGAGGGAGGGTGAGGGGAGAGAATATGGTTAAACATACACATAACTTCCCTTCAACTTAAATCCATTTCCTCATTTCTCACATTTCAAAGTCCTTCAACAAAGTTTCTTATTTTCTTTCTAGAAGAGGTATACACAGCTCTTACGCTTTATTCCTGAAAAATGCTGCAATAAACTGCAGTTTATAACACACTATTTCCTGGCCTAAAGGGGGACTTTACATATTTGCTGCTTTCCCAAATGGAAATTATTCCTCAATTTATTGTCACTTTTCCTAAGGTCTGGCATCCTGTTACCTAGTAATCAGGTAGTGACCTAAGCACAATTAAGTAGAGAGCAACAGCTCATACAAAGGCTTCTGTTAAAGGAACAAAGGAGGGAAGATCTTCTGGCCATAACCACAAGTTGTTAGTATTCGGTTCATCATCCACTTCTCTTTTTTGGCTGTGGTTAGTTACCAAATGTTTTTGATTTGGATCAAAATCAAATGAGAACCTTCTATTAAGTCACCAGCATGTGGTCTGCCTCCTTTATGCTACTTGTGCTTACCCTGATCACTTGATCCATTTGGCGATCAGTTCAGCAAGACCATTCAAGATTACAATATGGGGAAACGTACATGTATGATATTGGGGGAAATGATTTAAAATAACTATACACAGCTGTGACAGTTCAAAATTAACAGGAAGATTTGAAATGTGGGTTGTCGTCCCCCCAAGCCTGTGCTTATCAATCTCCATTTTCTTTGGGCCTTTGTAAATGACACCAACAGGACAGACAGGGACCACAAAACACACAAGAAAACAAAAGACAGACAAGCCTGGTAACTTACCCCTCCTGACAATTTAATCACCCTGACTTTGGTGCCGACATGGGGCCCATCTCCACTACCACTGTTTGCCCGCTGCATGACAGTTCTTTTCACCCCAGGCTTCAGTTCCTGAGGCTGGCCTTGTACTGATGCCACACGAGCAATCTGGGATGGGTTCAAGTGGGCTGCAGGAGGCTTTGTTTGCAACCCTTTGTATGGCAGCTGGAGCTCATTTTCGGGCACTGTCCTAGCCTGTCTTAGCTGCTTCACTGTTTTTATTTGCTGTCCTTGAAACTGTGCATTATCTCCAGCCTGCGGAATATTTGGGGGCTTAGGCTGAAAAGCAGGGGGGTTTGGAGCTACTGGGTCTTGCTTTTTAACCATCAGCCTGCATTTCACATTTTGGCGAGGCTGTGCACCAGGAAGGGGAAGCAATGGATTTCCATTGGTGGGCAACTGTGAAGTTTCTTCCTCCTGTTGTTGTGTTGAAGACTGCTGCTGCTGTGCGAGCCTTTCAAGCAACTCTCTTTTTCTAGCTCCAGCCTGAAGTTGCCGCCTGAGCTCCTTTTGTTTCAAGATCTCTTCTCTGAGGCGTTTCTGTTCTTCTATCTTTAAACGGTAGAGTCTGGTTTCTTCATCTTCATCAGGAAACTACAGAACATCAAAGGAAACAAGTTATAGGGACAGTAACTCCTATCCAGCTTTGTCAAATTTGGTTTTGCTTTTTAAAAAAGAGAGTGTATTGATGGCATCCATTCCCAGGAGCATCTTAAATTAACTGAAATATGGTGCTAATGCTTTTAAATGACATAGCTACCAATGCAAGTTTATTACTAGGCAACCTATAAAGAGTCGAAAAAATACATGACTCTAGTTTGGACTTTACTTAATGAAAAAAAAAAATCAGAATGCTGAAACTGAAGCCTTCTAAATCGGAACTCATTTAGAAGTTGCTGAAACCAATTAAACTATTAATATAATTCAAGATCTCAAAATATTGTTTCAAATGGAAGCTGTAACAATGCAGAGGCAGCCCACTGTCACATGGGTTTTATCTTGCTCTTTTCTGACAAACTAACAAAAGGTAGGGTGGTAAATGACCTGAAAGGCCCTGATTAGAACTATTGATTTTTCTTACAGAATTTTCAGCCTGATCTGAAACTCATTTGTCACACAATAATTGGTTATAATGAACAGCACAAGTCAATCTCTCTGACCTTGAACTCATGCACTCTCTTCAGAATTAAAATGTTGCCAAATGCAGTGTTGGAATATTAATGGTATATCAGGAATGCCTTTAATATTCCAGCCTCAAGCTTTTCTGAAAGTATTATACCCTTTGTGCATCAAGGGGCCTAAAATTCTGGCAGAAAACACATTCTTACAGGAAGCTACAGGGAAATCAAGAACATCAAAAGAAAAGCTGCTTCCAAGAGTTGCTCCTGAGTTTGCAAGTTTCAACAGGACAAACGTTAAAGGATAATATAATAGGCTAAGAACTGTTCCTTATTAAACACTACAATAGTTTAACCCCCTAAAGCACCAACCGGATATGCTTTATTTAGTATACATCTTGAGGAAACCTCATTCGGCACACAGCAGCTTAGATCACCAGCACTTGGAAGCAGCGAAAAAGTGGAAGATCCTGCACCATGGAATCAATGTAACATTGCTTGAACTAGTTTCACTCACATATGGCTTTCACAAAGATTCTCTTACGCAATGTTCATGTTTAATTGGCAGGTAAGATGTTTAAAAAGTCATCAGCTGAAAGTGTAGGCAGGAGAAACTGGAACCTATCGGTTACAATTGCATACTATTTTGAATTTGCTAGGCTCATCTTAATATCTGAGTTCCCCTAACAATGTGAGTAAATAGGTCCCCATTCCCATTTACCATATTTCTAACTCAGATTAAGATGCTACATGACTCCATGGCAGAATTGGCATTGAACCCAAGGGAACCACATCTAACTCTCTGCCCACGGGACCACACTGACTTTGACCATCTGAAACAAAAAACTGAGAACACTGAAAACAGCCATCCATCCAAAATGCAATTAGCAAGCTTTCCATCTTGCAGGGTAAAGTATTTTAGTCTAAGTTTTACGGGCCAATTCAACCTAACGTGATCTATTTCACTGAGTACAGTTACTCTATATTCTGTAACAACCTATCAGAAAAAACATCAGCATTCAGTAGTTAGCATTTACAGTGACAAACCATTGATATTCATCATTCGAGCCTATCTGTAAGGGATAATAACAGGAATTAGCAGCTATATAGTTCTTTAGAATATTCAAAGCATTGTCTCAGTAATTTTTACAACAATCCCGCAAGGCAGGCTCAGTATTTTGCCTATACTACAGGAGAGTGACTGAGGATAAGACACCGTGTCTCATTTAAAGCCATAAAAGCTCAGTTTGCGCATTATGCCAAGTCAAACAATGGCTTAGCATGAACAGCTGAATGTGCAGGCTCTCAGAGATTGTGGCTCCTCTGCTCCTCTTACTGTTGCTGTATTGAGCTCCACATATCTAATGAGCCCAGGTTCATGGTTTAGCTCTCTCCACACAAACTATGAATTGTAACCAAGATTTGTCCTGTGGGTTATAGCCAGTGCTTGGTTTGGGACAGCTAAACCATGAGCCTAGGTTCATATAACCTGCTAAGCCAAAGCATGACTTATTCTGGTCCAGCACAGCAGAACCAGCAGATGAGCAAAGCAGTCACAATCTCCTCTCAGGGAGCCTGCACAATTGCTCTGTGCTAAGCTATGGTTTGGCTTAGAGTCACATGCAACTGAGTTTCTAGCAAGTTCATTGCGGATTCTACCTAGGGACTTTTAATAGTACTTTCACAGTAACTTGGTTCTCCAAAATCACTCAATGGTATTCAAGAGATAAATAAAAATAGGCAAATGACTGCAGATTCTTGTTTCCACAAAAACAGAATTTCATTATTTAATATTATCACTGCATCTTGCCAATAGACAGGATTACATCGGGGATGGTTGACCCATGACCTGTGGACCACATCTGGTGGCTGAGGGGAAGAGCTTCCCATATACCCCATTCCGAATTGACTTCTCCTTTAGGCTCCATCTTCTCATTCTAGCAAAGTGCACACTTGACTCTCAAGACTGGTGACAGTGAGCTCCATTTCCTGATCAGGGCTTACAATAAGATACTTTTGCTGTAACAGATGTAAGTGTAAGTAACAGATGTGCCTTATGTTTTCAGCAGATGAGGGAATCACCAACATATAAGTGGACTGTGTGTGCTGGTAGAGACATTTCTTCTGTCTCTCCAGTTTACTCATCTGTGCTTGCCTGGAAACTATTATAAATGCAGAAAACTATGACATAGATAGACAGAGGAGAGGCCTTACCTCTGGCTCAGATTTGATCTCCACTTTAGGTTGTGCCACTGGAATAACTGCTCTAGGCTTTGTCTCAGTCCTTCCCTGTTGGTTCTTCACACTAGCAACAGGCCTTGCAGTAGGCATGGTACTGGTAATGGGTTTTACTTGAGCAGCAGGTGCTGAGGTTCTTCGGTTGTTAGCAGCCTCAATTGCATGCAAAGGTGCTATCGGCAATTCCCGCAAATTACTGTTCCTTTGAGCAGGTGACTGGAGTTGCTGATTTGGACGCTTCACCATGTTTTGTGTTGGTGTGTTCTGGAAAAAAAAATCAACATTAAAAAACCCCTGATAGCATTGAGTTTTTAAGCATGCAGATTTTGCTGTAGCTTAACTGATAACATATGGAGATTCTGAATCACCTTTTTTTGTGCAGTCATTTCTATAGCAAATGCAAGTCTATAGTCCCCTTTGCCATGCTAATGGTACTAACAGCCTTGGATAAGCTTTGAGGAATGGAATCTTCCAAAGGAAGAGCAGACAAAGCAACAGAACTCTTTTTCCTCAGCACAGAATTTTCTGTGGCAGAGAAGGTATCAACCCTGCAGAGGGCCTCAAGAAACACAGGTGAACACAAACAGAGGGACACAGCAGTGCGAAGTGGTTTGAAAATTCTTTAGCACAGCAAAGGAAAAAGTCAACCATGGATTGACAAAACTGCAGGATTTGTGACTAGAAGTGAACAAATGCGGCCAACTTCACCTCCAGACACAGCCTTCCTTAAATAATGTTTCTAAGCGCGCACGCACACACACACAGCCAGTCCTACACATCCTTGCCTTCTTTTCTTTCAAAACCTTCCAGGCAAACTACATGGCAAAGCCTCTCCTGAACTGTCATCACTTCTTTGCTGCACTCTCTGCCAGTTAACCTACTCAACATCATCACTGCAGTTTGGAAGCCAATCCTTGTCCCTTGTCTTTCTCACTTTGCCCCCATGTGTCTTAACTTCATTGAAGCATTGGCAGTAGGGCTATTTCTGCTTTCTACCTATCACTGCTAGTACTAAAGTAGTATCACTCAGTAACACAGGTAGGGCTGCAATGAATCATTTGCCTGCTCACTACTGGAATGTTCAAATTGCACTCCCTTGGAAGGGGAGAAAGAAAGAAGCCTTAACATGGCCTTGAGAAAGCTGCCCGTGGAAATCTCTTTTCCTCTGTGCTGCTTTGCACAGCCCAATAGTAGTAAGATTACTCGGCCTCTCAAGCTCAAGATAACAATCTCAAGACACTGTCCAAATAAGAGTGCTTTTTTTGATCGTAATACTAAGCAAGGGGTGGGGTGGGGTGAACGGGTTGTTGTTTTTATTTTGATTATATATTTTGTGGTTTTATATTCTGATTTTGTTCAGTGAACCACCCTGAGACCTCCGGGTATAGGGCGGTGTATATACTGAATAATAATAATAATAATAATAATAATAATGCCAAGGCAGCCGAATTTAGCACAGAGGGAGCATCACAGAGGCTGTGCAAGAGATAGCAACAACACTAATAGTGTCACACCATACAACAGAGGTATCTAATCCACAGACCTGCAGGTGGCTCTTCAAGAGGTTTGTATTCACCCTCAAAACACACACACACACACACACACACACACTCCCCAAGCCTTCTCATTTTTTAAGAAAACTACTAGGGTTTTTGTTATTTTTTATTTCAGGCAACAACTGGGGTTTGCATTCCAGGTTATCACACACGTCAGTGGAGTGCACATAAGCCCGCCCCGCCCCCTTCTGGGTCTGAAAACAGCCTGCACATGCACAGTCGTGTGTTCTTTGAACATGCGCAAAACGGGAGTTTTCTGTACTGTATTTAAATGTCACTTACATGCCTGGCCTTTACCAGACCTTGTCGTTGCTGACACTGCATCCGATTGCTGCTTGACTGTTGCTGCTGTGCCTGCATGTGAGGTCTATACTGGGATGGGGCAACAGAAATCAGAGGCTGGGGGGGCACTGCAAGGAGGTGGTGCTGCTGCTGGTGTGGCTGGTGCTGCTGGTGTGGTTGATGCTGCTGGTGGTGCTGCTGGGCTGTTTGTGGATGCTGCTGATGTGACTGCGGATGCTGCTGATGTGACTGCGGATGCTGTTGATGCGGCTGTGGATGGTGCTGTTGCGGCGGCTGCTGATGCTGCTGATGCTGTGGCTGCAAAGGAGGGTGCAAGGGACCCTGCACGTTTTAAAGGAAAGCACACATGAGCTGCAAACTCAAAAAAGGCCTGCTCCTAAACATTCAAGCTTTAAGTAGCTAATAGGATTTAACCAGCACTCTGTATATCACAATTGCTATAACCAGCAAAGAAAAGGCCTTTATTAATAAGCACACCATCACCCAATTCAAGTCTAAAGTTCAGTTAAGCTAAATTAAAGTGCTGTACTGCACATAAGCATTATGTTTCAGCTGTTCCTTTTAAAAAAATAATAATGAAGTCGTCTAACTGGAGTCTGAACATTTCCTACAATTACTAAAGCACAATAGTTAAACTTTAAAGAAAGCTTAATAAGTGAAAGGAATGCACGATACCAGCCATTGTGTATTTATTAGTATCCTCAAATGAAAAACAATAGTACCAGCAGAGGGTGCTCTAACCTTTATGGTGAGCTAATATGGCTGTTTTCTAGATGCATGCTTAATCTATTCACTGTACAGGAACTTGTTTTTAAACAATAGATTATTTTCATATTTCTTCTGGAATAAATCAATTTAGGAAACCATAGAATATTGAACAAAATGTTGCATTACAAACTTTTCTAATCTCATTAGCTGTGAACAGCCTTGCAAAAATCAAAGCAGTTTAATATCTTCACTTTGAAGCACTATGCCAATACAAAGTTGCCACTAAACCTTGTAATTCAATTAGCACTGGGCACAGGGGGATAAATATGTTTTCATGGTTGGCACAGCAATAAAAAGGCACATTTAAATTTCATCTATATTTTGTACCATCAATTCAAACATTAAACATTCAACTCTGCGCACAGGAGAACTTCTCAAAGCTTTCCACACTTCCCTGCATAAGCAACAAACGGTTTGAGGCTCTTAAGGAATAGCTAAGATGAAAAAAGCAAGCACCTGCACAAACTCACTTTATTCTTAGGCCCACAGCTAAAAAGATTGAGAGGAGTGGGTCAACTAAATGTGTTTGTTACATGCTTTAAAAGTCTCTAAAAGAGGGCAAAAGGATACTGCAAAAAACACACACACCTGGACATTAATTTCCAAGCACTGATCAATACAGTTGCCATACTTTTTGGAGCAGTTAGGGGACGGCAGGTCTAGGTTCTGCCCTGCTGATCAAAGTGGTGTGAAAAGGGTGCTAGAGTAACAGCTTTTGGGCAGCTTTGGGGGCATTGCACTTTTGGGAACTTAGGTTGAAGCTGTCACAATATTTCTAAATGCAGATTCCTAGGAACTCTTGCTTTCGTTTCATACCTGCATGTTGGGCTGCGTGAGAGTTGTCAAAAACGGCTGGCCTGGCACCTGCATGAACGACTGCCTGGGAGGGAGGAAAGGTCGTGCGTTTGCTGCTCCAGGCTGGTTGAAGTGAAGGACTCCCACGGGGCCCTGTGGCTGAATGTTTGGCCTCACCATCCTCTCTCTGGGGAACATGTGCTGCTGCCCCTGCTGGTTAAAACCTGGTCCAGGCTGGCTGAAAGGGTGCGGGTTTTGGTTGGGAATGGGGTGGGCGCTGTTGAGGAGTGGGGGCGGTAGAGGAGGAGGAGGGCTCCGCTGCTCAAACAGGTGGTGGCTGGGAAATCTTGGCTCTGTCAGAAACAAAACGTAGTCATAAAACCAATCTATCCATGGAGCAAACTGAACAGCCTTCCTAGTCCTCACACCCCTGCTTCAGAGAACGCTCACATAGGAAGCTGCAATATTAGTTTAAACCATTGTTCCCCAACCTAGCGCCCTCCAGATGTTTTACAGTACACCTCCTATCAGCCCCAGCCAGCACAGCATAAAGCAGAATGGTGGGAACTTGAACCCAAAACATATGGAAGGCACCCGGGTTGGGGAAAGCCAGGTTAGATTATTGGGTCCATCTAACCCAATATTGTCTGCACGGACTGGCAGTGGCTCCTCAGGATTACATAAAGAGGTTCCTTTAGCATTATCTGTTCCTTTTCGTTGGAACTGTGCCACCTTCCGCATTCAAAGCATGTGATTTGCCACTAAACGAAGATCCTTTCCTCACAAAACATTCTAGACTGCACAGATGTTACAAAGGGGGCGGGGAGAGATACATACTTTTGCTTCTTTTATCACTCTCTAAGAGACTTAGATACCTGGAGTAGATACCTGGGTTAGAGAGGACCACTAGGTCCCTGTAGTTCAAAACCCTTCTCCAAAACAGGAGGAATGCTCTCACGCCAATCAACCCACAGAATCCAGGTAAGTCCTGCAAGCAGAACTATTTATTGTCTTCATGGAAAATCAATAGGGGAAAGACGGTTTCGGTTAGAAGTCCTGTTGTTTAACTGAAAGCAGCAGTCAGCAACAACTAACACAATTAAGGGTTGTACAATGGAAGAGAAATCCAAGTTGTGCCTGTGGAAGTTTTCACCACTTTTACAGTTGACACCTTAGAAGTTTTCTTCTTATATACAGTGGTGCCCCGCAAGACGAATGCCTCGCAAGACGGAAAACCCGCAAGATGAAAGGGTTTTCCGTTTTGGAGGCGCTTCGCAAGACGAATTTCCCTATGGGCTTGCTTCGCAAGAAGAAAGCCCATAGGGAAATCTCCGGGGACCTCTTTTAAATGCTGGCGGTGGGGAGCAAAGCCTTTCCCCCCCCTCCGGCCTTCAGAAGAGGTCCAGGAAGGCCGGCGGGGGCCGAAAGGCTTTGCTCCCCACCGCCATCATTTTAAAAGCGGTCCGGGATAGCAGGGAAGCGCTTCCCGCTATCCCGGACGGCTTTTGAAGGCAGGCGGGGGGGGGAGCAAAGACTTTTGCCCCCCGCCGGCCTTCAGAAGAGGTCCAGGACCTCTTCTGAAGGCCGTCGGGGGGGGCAAAAGTCTTTGCTCCCCCCTGCCTGCCTTCCGGGGGCTTTTAAATCGCCCCGGGACAGCGGAGAAGTCCTCCACTGTCCCGGGGTTTTTTAAAATGCTGGCGGGCGGCAGCGAAGGGTTCGCTGCTGCCCGCCAGCATTTTAAAATCGCCCCGGACAGCGGAGAAGTCCCCGGACCTGGTCTGAACTGTCCCCGGACCTGGTCTGAAGGCGGTTTCCATAGGAACGCATTGATTGATTTTCAATGCATTCCTATGGGAAACCGTGCTTCGCAAGACGAAAAACTCGCAAGAAGAAAAAACTTGCGGAACGAATTAATTTCGTCTTGCGAGGCACCACTGTATATGTTACAATAATGTAAAAGCCACTAAACATGACTATGTTAAAAATTTACAGGAGAGAATCGGATAAGTGATATTGTGGTACCTAATTGCTAAATCCCAAGCTCCAGATATAGGAGGATTTGCCAGCTTCAACAATGGCCTAGAAGTGACAGATGGGAAAGTCACCGCGTATAAGTGTGACAATGGGAAATAATTAAATAATTCAAATCCAGAAATGGCAGGAGGAACCTGGAGATTCCTCATGGTTTCTGAGGACACTCTTTCTGGAGCCTGAAGAGGGCATTAGTGAAGGCAGAGGATGCCCCAAAGAGATTGGATAAGCAGCGGGAATCTGTTTATGCTGCTCAGCCTCCCCGCCTATCAGCTGATGTGGGGAGCAGCGCAGCAGTAGCCACCGCTTTCCTGTGTGTCTTCCAGCCTCCTGCCAGCGCCAGAGCTTCAATTCTAGTTGTGGATATTTTTGGAATACAGTATTTTCTATATGGATTGAAGAGAGCAGCAGAGAGGGTGTTTAAAGGGTGCTTAGAGGGTGCTCCCCACTTTATCCAATTTCACTTTTACACACGGGGGCCCAGAATGTAACCCCCATGTGTGTGGGGGAGGGGTGTGTGCCTGTAGTTAAGACAACAAGCTGCCGCTTCTGATGCTAGACAGGACACTACCTCCCATGAAGAAAGGCTCTCTATCCTGTGGAGGTGGTGGTGGCAGAGGCGGTGGTGGTCCTCTCCATTGATCCTGGAGGGAGAGTCTTGGGGCTTGATTGAAGTTGGTAGGAACAGGTCCAGGGGGATTCTGCTGAAACTCTGGAGGACCCTGAATAATACAAGGGGACACACAGAACACAAATGAAGGTTAAAATAATCCTGAAGCATTTCTTCTATAGCTCATTTATTAGATTAATTTTATTCCTTTACCATCCTTCCTCTCAACTGGGAGCTCAAAGCAATGTACAACATCTCTAAAATAGAGTCTGTACAAAATATTACATGAAACCCTATAAAAACTTCTTACATAGCCTAACTATTGAGAATATTTATTTATTTTATAGGAAAAGATTAAAATACCTTTCTGTAATCTGTATAAATTGGCAACCCTACTGAGTCATATCTTTCACTGTGGCAGAGAACATGGAACCTAAGCACAATATCTTTACAATGAATTCAAAATGTTTTAATAATCACAGCAGCACCACAGGAATGCCATCTCTTTTCAAGCTTAGTGAAATCCATGCAATTATTGACCTTCTATCCCATTAATCCAAAAGTCTGAATGTCTACTTTAGAAAATGCTCCTGACATTTATCTCTTTAAACCATGCTATTCTTTGCTATCTATTTAGTACAACCTAAGCAACCAAAATGAAGCTACTTTAATTTTCTGGATGTCATAAATTGATTCTCCCCCCCCCCCCATTTCTGAAGTAAAGAAATCATATTTCCAGAATAACAGGGAATCAACATTTCACAAAGCACATAACCCTAAATACTTAAGCATCTGAAGCATTCGTTACAGACAGGATACAGAAAAATTAACATAGATTTGCCACCCTTGGTTTCAAATAAATGCTTCAGACTGATATTCAGCTATTTCACAATCAGCAAAGGAAGGAGCCATTTAAAATTTAAGCTCAGTAATTGATTTTCCCCCTTTTGATTCTATGAACGAACATGCCGTATCATCTAGCAAAAAGACAAGGACCATTTATGACACAAACACCCATTAACTAAATTAGTGGGAAGTAATATTATGTTGTCACAATCTCTTCTTACAGCACATCAAACAGTCAAGAGTATTCTCAACTCAGCAGTGTTTTCAGGTCAGGTAAGCATCTAAAAATCAGTATTACCCACAATCAGTGCGCTTCCTTATTATTACCGTACAGGCTTAAAAACAACAACAAAGATTCCTGGACAAATTTAAGGGCTGCAAGGAATACAGTACAATTAAATCCCACTTCAACACGCTCAAAGTTAGCGGGGGAAATTGTTCTGTATATGAGTGAGAACTGGACTATTAGAATTATAGTGCTTAATTTGTGTGCCAGCCTTTACTCTGGTTCCGCTACATCTCAAGGAGCCACGTTCTAAACTGGATGCTGCTCCCATTACAGAGCTTGACGGTGGTGGCATCTCCTGCTCTGAAATCTATACTTCTGTTCCCGTGCTTAGCTGCCCTTTATAAATGTATGCATACAATTGTCCATAAATGAGTCCTGTTAACCCAACTACAATTTTTCATTTTATGGTTTGGCGGGGGGCGGGGGGGGGGGGAAGCTAAACAGGCTTTTACTACCTACACACGTACATACATCTCTCATGCACTAATCATTTATTTACTTGTACCATTAAATCTTCTCCTATCTCTTTCTGAAAACCTGAAGCACAGTATACACCGCTAGGAACTCTGCAGCAGACATTAGCTACAGATGTGTTGCATTAATAGGGGGAAAATACAAGTACAGTACAATTCTGTGGACTGTGAAACATTTAAGTAGCCTTGGGTCCATGGATATACCATGCACAATTCTACAGTCACAGTTAAGGACACCGACAAATATAATATCAAAAATAGCCTACTTCTTTCAGAATCTGAACCAAGGTTCTTTGATAGATATTTAACTGCTAACGTTTTACACTCCTGTTAAATTTAGAAGTCAGAATGCTATTTTTTGTGCTCAGCAACATATGTACCGCAAAGAAAACAAGCATACGGGAAACATAATAAATTCTGATATGCACAGTAGTTTCTCCTTTCCATGCCCTCACAAAGGCAGTTTCAAAGAGCCACAAGCTGCTAAAAGTAACATTCATTTGTAAGCGGATAAAATTGATCTTGATTTTTTATATGGCCTAAATTGTAACACTGCAAGAATGTGCTTTGGGATAATACATTTTGGGCATTTGCTGCCATTTGTTTGTGTCTTTTTGTTTTTTTTCCAAACCCACCAAGTAAACTGAAGAGGGTTATGGCTTTGCAGAATACATATAGTTGTGATCTTAACCAGGGAGAAAGCCAGGTACTCCCCGCACTGCTGCTACCCCACCCCACTCCCATCAAAAGCACAGTCCAGCTGCACAATCCCACAGGTCTGGCTTTCTGGACTAATAGTTCAAAACATTACATTCAACAGTGTTTGCTACATGATATTCACTTAGCAAACTTTAGAGCTTGAAGGCTGCAAGCACCTTATGCTCATTTAAACAGTGGCTCATTTCAAAGCATCTGAGATTTTATAGTAAAAGCAATTATAGATTACAACACATTAGTATTTAAAAGGCCTCACTTTACTGCCTTGGGTTTCATAATGGAAAATAGCCAGGATATAAATGTAATGAAATAAATAAAAGCATAAAAAGGTAAAGGACCCCTGACAGTTAAGTCCAGTCGCGAATTACTCTGGGGTTGCGGCACTCATCTCGCTTTACTGGCCAAGGGAGCCGACGTTTGTCCACAGACAGTTTTTCTGGGTCATGTGGCCAGCATGACTTAAGCCGCTTCTGGTGAAACCAGAGCAGCACACAGAAATGCCGTTTATCTTCCTGCTTGCACTTCCACGTGCTTTCGAACTGCTAGGTTGGCAGGAGCTGGAACTGAGCAATGGGAGCTCACCCCGTCGCGGGGATTCGAACCTCCGACCTTCCGATCGGCAAGCCCTAGGCTCAGGGGTTTAGACCACAGCGCCACCCACGTCCCAAGTAAAAGCATATACAGTCTCAGTCATCCTTAAACCGGCCCTGCAAAGTAGATTAGTTTGTCCCCATACTGTAAGTGGGTCGGCTACAACAAGACATGGTAGATTGCCTAAGGCTATGTAGTGAGTTTATGGCAGAGGGTCAGCCAGACAAATCAGACCTAGAGCTTAATCTCATAGCCACAAACTGTCTATACATAATAGCTTTCAAACCTTGAAGTTGTGAAATTAGGGCTGTCACCTTATTAGTTGATTGGCTGAGGCTTTTTAAATAGATTAAATCTGTTTATGAATGAATCAATAATTTATTGCGGAAGGGAAGCACATATTTTAGTTGATACATGTAGTGATCAGAGCAGGCATCATCCCAGAAGAGGCACAAAGAAGAAGTGTGGTTTTTGTATAAACGTGAATTCTTAATAATCCCTGTGTATTGCCCAACTGATCAGGGACAACATTTCAGTCAATCAAAGAGTTTATTGTTGCTTAAGAACTGACTAGAATCTGCAGCCTTGCGTGACATTTAATAATGCCAGCCTTTGCCTATCACTAATTAGGTGTTGCAAGTTATGGCTAACCAATGCCTATAAAGATGATTCATCAAGCATTGTTCAGCCATTCTTCTTTGCATATGTACTTCCATTATGCATCATATCAAAGGCTTAACCAGAATGTTATTGATTACTCAACACTAGGTAACTTCTGTCTATAGTTTGTTATAGAGATCTGAATGGCTCATTGAGCATGACTTCCACATACGCAGGCAATCCTTCTTTCTGAAAGAACATGAGATAAGGTTACCCTAATCCTGTCAAAGAATTACACTATTTTGCTTTCCTTTTTATCCTCTCAAATATCCCCCCTAGTTAAGAAATTAACATTCTCTCTCATACAATTCTTACAGAAATTGTATTTTTACTTTTCGGCATCTCTTGTTAATTACATGATGTTATCTGTTATAATCTATTCATGAACCACAGATAACTTTGGCTACCAATAAAAGAGAAAACTTAGCATAAATTGCTTAGCACAAAGTTAATCTTATAAAGCAAGGCATAAAGAGGATCTAACAGCTATTATATGACTTATCAGCTTTCCTAAAAGGGTCACTATATACTTTTTTCCAAAGAGACTAATTAAATACCTTAACAATATCATTGAAACTTCACGAATCTTTCAATAAATTACACCCTGTCTCTACAACATGTTTTCATTTATTAATCTCACTTAACATGCAAAGAGGCTAGAAGAATGCCACTGACACCTAAGTAGGGATACTCTGTTAATTCTTATTAAAAATTGTATAAATGCAAAGAATCAGTGACTATAACCTATGGCATGATTAAAACTATAGCTATCTGTCACAAAATGTTAATCCTCTTACTTCAGCATCCACTGGACTTTGGCTTTTCTGGAGTAAATGACCTTAGTTCAATTCAATCACCACAGGGTAAGATGCACGCAGAAATGTAACACGCAGATCCCTTCAATGGATGGCTCCACAGCCATCGTGTTCTCAGCAAACTACCATGTAGTAGCTTTGGGCTTCATCATAAGCTTAATTTTTTTCATTTGACTTGACTTCTGCACCAATTAGATGCATGCAAAAAGGAAGCAGGGTCCAGTCTCTGGTTCTTATACCCAAGGGTGACTTACTGTATGTGGAGGAAGTAGTATTTTAAAGTAGGTGAAATTCTAGATTGCTTTTTGGGATGACAAGCATTCCCATCTCTGGAGGGGAAATGACTAAAACCAATCACCTTCAGAGATGCCATCTGAAGATTTGGAGCATGGAGTCACTAATATTTAGATGAATTTGAGCTCTGTCTTTCCACACAAACTGAATCAGGGCAGGTTGTACAAGTGCTGGAATCTGGAGGCAGTGATGCGCTGGAGAAAGCCTAATAAACTGCGGCTGAATCCTAACAAGACTGTGGGTAAGATGGCTTTGGGGTCTTAGAATTAAATAGCAGCCAGTTTTGGATGGGGTAGCTCTCCCCATAAAATGATATGTGTGTAGTCTGTGTGTATTCCTAGATCCTAAGTTGTTACTGGAGACACAGGGCTGCCTCAGTGGCAAGGAGTGGCAATGCCCAGCTCTGGCTGGTTAGCCAGCTCAGGTC